GAGGGGGAGGGGGGAGGTGTAACCTGCGTTAGACTGCCATCTCATCCAGGGAGAGAAGCAATTTTTTAGTTGTTTCATGCATGCTGTCGAAACTGGGATAAGCTTCGACTGGACGGGCCACTTAGCACGAATGTGAACTTAATCTCATAACTGCTAATGGGTGTATGTCGATGCACAGGTACTCTCAATCCAAATGGGTAGCAGAACAACTTGTGTTGAGAGCCAGGACTCAAGGCCTGCCTGTAGTCATCTACAGATTAGGTATGGATAACACGGTCTATTATTTAGAGTGTTGGAGTGTTGATTTTAACGTTGAAATTCCATTTTCGAAACTTGGTGTCAGTAACTGGGCTTTGCTTCGATAACTTTTTCAAGGTAACACTCGTTAACATTTTGTTGGGAAGATCAATAAAAGAATTGGTTTCATTAGAAAACACACATACACAAAATAAAAAAACCGAAAAAATATATAAAATGTAACCGCTTACGACTGTTATGTTAGAAGATACATCCTGCTCAGTATTTTAATGAAAAAAAAAAAAATTAAGTTCCATCCTTTTTTTGTGATACAAGCGACAATCCCCTTGCTGGTCGAGACACCAACAGTTGTTCAATTAGTTTTACACGTAAATGCAGATAACAGCGTCTTTCGGTTACGAAAACATGTCAAGACATAACACACCTGTGAAAGAACGATCTTCTTAATGTCGAACTTTAACCTTCAGAACCCAATAGTAGCATAAAATAACAATAATAATTTTTAGCTATCGTTGTCATCTACGAACAGAAATTATTGCAACGAAATATCTCCTTGCCGTTTTATTCTCCATAATTGCAAAAACTGCACAGTTTTCTGCACTAGAATTAGCAAGCCTAAGAACAGAAGACCTAATTTTCTATAGCTTTCACGCAAAAATTCCGTTTGTGTTTGCTTATACCTCCAACGAGATTTCTTGAGGTTATTACGAACGTAGTGCCACTGATTTGTCGAACGTGAAACAAACTGGCTGTTTTGAGGGACAGCGGATTTCACTGAACACAAATTAAAGTCCGAAAGGCCTGCCACATTGCACGAACCCAGCACGGTTTGTATTGAAAAGCAATGCCGAAGATCAACTTTCATTCGACTCAACATTACCACGGTCACTAAATGCAGCCAGTTTATATCATGTTACTTTTAATTTGTTTTCTCGAAAGATATCCTACTGACCTAATAAATCCTATGATGGTCACGCTAAATTCTTGGGTTCATGTGTCGAAATCCCATGATCTTTGCATTCTTAGGTCGTTCTCGACCAAAACTGAAAATAATTTTTGTATGAATATAAAAACCCACTTTAATTCGATAATTTGTTTCTATAGGAAACCTTGCAGGCGACCGGAAAAACTTTCAGTGGAACCCACTCGATTTTACGCTGTTGGTTTTTAAAGGAGTCACAGAAACATTAACTGCGCCTATTGTTGACTGGCAAATAGAGATGAATCCTGTAGATTTTGCCAGCGAAATGATTGTCAAAATGACCCAGGTAATAATTCTGATGTTTATCGATAGTTGTTAAGCTCGTCTCCAGCATAATTTCACTTCAAAAGAATTAGAATACCCAATCCATATGGATTTAATTGAATTTCCTTTCATTTCTCACTATCGCGCCGTGCAGGAAATGTCTACGACACTGGGGAAAGTTTATCATATTGTGAATCCACAACCTTTGAATGCAAAGTAAGTACACTGCAATCCCTTCAGAAGCATTAAGTAGAAAAAAGGGGAAACCCTCTGAGAATGGATATCGGTATTGCGACCTGATTAAAGTAGGTTCAGCATGTTTCGGAACAGGGCGTTTTGGTCTCGAGACTTATTAAAAAAAAAATTATCTTTCGTAAAATTTTTCGGTTTTTCTTTTTTTACTTGTAAATGAAAAATTTTATCACATTGGATAAAGGTTAGAAATTGACTGATCTTAAAGGATGATTCTGACAATTCTTACCATTCCAAGTGCCATGCTCGTGAGACGTGCAGTGAAATTACAATGTTTTAGAGTTTATTTACTTCAGATAATGATCGTCAATGAAACAAAGTGAGATGTTAGTACAAACTTTACATAATAAGATGGTTGTCGTTTTATAGTTGCCCGTTGCGCGCCCCTATTTTTCACCTGTTTTTCTCCCCTAATTTGTGATTATTTGTTCCCATGGAAGCTCTTTATAAAGAAACCGTGGTGCTGCGTCGGTGGGGGTATTACAAGATAATTTGGTTTGATCAACTGAGTTAATAATGTAATTTGGCCATCTTAAAGAGTTTCTAGGGCTGACATTTTTGTAGGCGGGAGCACTTTTAAGCTTATTTTGTTTCACCTTGAATGTGGCGTGAAATTTTAGCTCGGCCGTAGAGAAACACGGAAGAGGTAATGATTAACTAAGAACGAACGAAGATAATCATGGAGGGAAAAATTTATAACAGATGGCAAATGGAATTACAAATGTAGCCTGTATTCACAGGTAATTTGATTTTATCAACTGAGTTTATAATGTGAATTGCCACCGAGTTTCCAAACTGGCGTTTCAAGCGTTACCCCTTTGTCAGAGCGCTCTGAAGAGCTCGACCAGTTAAAACAGACTATGACGTATATTTGCAGATGGTTGTTTGAATGGATGCGTACTTTTGGATATCCTTTGGAGATGATAACCTTTCCAGAATGGCGTAAGAAGTAAGAAGTATTCCTATTGCTGTTGCTTGATGTAAATTTCTTAGCTTGACATGCGGCATCCTTCGTAGACTAAATTGATTGAACTTGTCAGAGTAAAAAATGTACGGGTAGTGGTCTTGCAAATATCGTGTGCGGGCGAACAGTCTAACCGAATTTTCTGGGGTTTTAAACAACCCTGAGGACATCAAGTTTTCTTCTTAAGTAGGTTGTTTAGAATAAAGAAATGTTTTCAGAATTCAACTTTGGTTTGAACTCGTGGTCGAAGGTGAAGAATTAGAAGGTTAGGAGTCGATACAGGAATTGGCATGGAAGAGTTTATTAATATTTGCACTTTTTTTTACAAAGGTCAAAAATTCTGGTACACTCTTCTCTTGTTGGTTACACGATTACCTCATCTTTACACACCAAAGGGCGTATTTAAATGCCACTAATCCCCTTGGATTAGCACCAGTCCCCGCACAAATGAACTACCAAATGGGCAAATCAAACGTGATGGTGAGCCGTTGGCTTAATTGAAGACGGTTTTGGTTGGCGATTTTGTTAATCAATGGTTAACTTAGTTTGAACAACCAGCCTTGCATGTTCATTGAGGCCATCGTTTTTCTTGCAACTTTTTTTATTCCCATAGCGTTTATCCCAACTTCCCATATATGCTAATTATCAGTTATACCTTCTCACGCAAAGTATCTGGTGTTTGGGAGAACCCACTTTGCTTGTCGAAAGTGAAGAAAAAGTGAGGTCCAGTTTCTGCCCTGGCCGAGTCATTGTGTTGCCAGTCTTTACTTTTACTTTGCCTTCATCCGCCCAGGGGATCAAAATTAGTATCCATATCACCAGATAACTTTTGAAAACTCAAATTTAAAAATCTGGAAAAAATACTTTTCTTGGAACTGGATATTCTTTCTTCAATGGTTGGGTGGCGTGTTCAGGCGAATCACCTGCGAGAAAAAAAAGTGTATTATGTAGCCTTAATAGTTATGGATGTACTCAATGGATATTTGTTCTAACTTTTCTACGCTTCTGTTAACAGAATTGAAACTTACAGCAGTGGGAACCCAAAACGTGGACTAGCTCCTCTGCAACGCCTTCTCGATATCTGGATGACGTGAGTATTCACATATTTGTGTCAAGACTGTGTAGCGGGTGACTTAACCCAACACGCACGTGCGAAAAGTCACGTGCAATAGAGTCTGGTTTCCCACGCACTTTTCTAGTCTCGAATTTTTTTTCGAGGAGTTGTTTTAGGTTTCCTTTGAAGCTGCTTGCTGTGATTTGTATAGAAACCATTTCCTTCTAACCAGCCAGTTAGATGTGGAGCAAAAGGCGATTACGGGGCACATACTTTTTTGTGATCGGTGCGCGATACAGCACTCTTTATATTACCTTTCACAAAAAGCATAGCAATTAACAAATAAATTATGGTCTCCAGATGTCTATTGCTTGTTAATTGATAAGAGCGAAGCAACTTCAACTTTAACTTCGACTTTATTTGACAATACAATACAATACAATACAATGTTCTTTATTTCCAGAGGGTAAATACATGATTAACCCAGTAAAGAGTTTTCTAACACATGGCCCTCTGTAAACCCACCCATCCCACCCAGGGGAGGACATCCATCACACAGTAATCTCGTGCGTGGGGAATTAACGTCTCCTACCCCAAACCCTGCAGGAGACGGGACCTCCATTTGTTCGTCCCCATCCGAGAAGACTAGAATATCTAACCATTTCTTGATGTTATAGAAAGGCAGCAAATTCTATTTGTTCAGATGAATTAATGTTACACATACAGAATACAGTAAATGGTTTGAACCCGGGGGTAACATGTGAAAGTGTAGTGCGATCGTTCGGGTGAGTTTAGTCCTCAGAGGGACTGTTGTCGGTGGTGGTAACCACGCTTTCACACATACAGAATATATAATCATAGAAATGCACTTTTAAAATATTGTTTAAATATTAATAAATGGAAAATCTAGAGAGGATGCGCACAGTGGCCCAAGGAGCCAAGGTTTTCGAGTTGGCCCCTGTGATGTTTTGAATATAATCAGAAAAAAAAAAAAAACAAAACAAGATTTGCAAAATTAAAATTGACGGGCACATTATTAGCATAATCTAGAGCAAATATCATACTAATTAAGGTATATCTTAATTAGAGGGCATACTGTGACATCTACATTGGAAAGAAGAAATACTTTATATTGCTTTCTAAAAGCAGGTTCAGTAAGGGACTTTAACTGTGATGGGACGCCTTTCCCGCACTTGAACCGACTTATATCTAAACATAAATTTTCCGTGGTCTGTGCAAATGTTTGTTCTATACAAATTTCCTTCGGTGGCATATCAAGTTTTATGAGAGTGTAGACCTACAGCTGAGACGATAAAATCAGAGAATATGGCTGGAATGCCTTTCTTTTTGAGAATTTTATGTGTATAGCAAGTCTTAAATTTTACGATGTTATCAAAATTGAGAATTTCTAGTAAATTATTATATAGTATTGAATGTCCTCTATTGTGAGCGAAAAAAAAGGATATTGCGCATGTATTTACTTTGCTTTGTACAGAGCTTATTCAATCTCGTCTTGTAATTGTTTCCCAGAATCAGTTATCACGCGATAAAAGTCGAGAGAGAGAGTGATCTAATTATTTTCGTTTAAATCTAATAGTCTTTCGAAACATAACAACGGGACCGGCTTATGTTGCTGTTTTATTTTGTTTACAACCGAACGCTGATAAGCAAAACACCTGACCCTTTACACCCCCGCATGAGTATGCATATTCTCTTTACTTTTCTCTATACATTTCCTAAGGCATTGACCAGGAGAATTTGTTTAACAATTAAGAGCTTCTTTAGTTGGGGATCGTTTTCTTTATTCTGTTGAGGGGTTTTTTACCACTCGCTTGGCGAATTAATAAGAGGTACTAAGACTCTGTAATTTTCTTCTTTATTCTCTACTCTTCTATTGTTGCTACTACATTCTACTACCGCAGCTATTTATCTTCTCACTTCAGCAAGGAATGCCCGCGCATTTAATGTAAAAATCGCAGACATGTTTGGGTGACCGTGGGAATTTCCAAAAAAGCTGACCGTGGGAATTTCCAAAACAGGATATTCAGTGTGGGTAAAACTCAAGGTCAGTTTTACCAACCCAAACATGACCACCTATGAAACTAATTATCCTCAACCACAACAAGCGTTTAAAATGTCTAGCACGGAAAGAACTGAGCCAAGTTCAAGCTCACACTAAAAATAAATGATCAAAACTATAGATTTACCAAATGAACAACTTAGACGCAAAAAGGCGAGACTCGTCGAAACAAAAGGTAAACCTGAAAATACTCAAAATAGCAATCCTTTAAAATGTTCTACAACAATTCTCCTGACCTTACTGTGTGATTCAGAGGTGACATGGTAAAGAGAAATTAGATTCTAATCACTCTTGGGAGTCGAATGGTGAACTTATTATCTATTACGGAGTAGACAGTGAGTTGCGTAGCCAGTCAGGTTGCAGCATTTAAAAATCAAAATTTACCCGGGAAAACCAAGGTTTTACTCTAATAGAGCACTTTAAATTTCACATTAAAAGAATATAACTAACAACATACTTATTTTCTGCAGAGATTCGTCTTTTCTGTCCAACTTGAGCACTTACACTACCACAAATTTTAAAGGAGTTATGGAGCGGTTCAAAGTTGGGTTCCCTGTCTTCAATGGCGAACTTTTGTCAAGTTACTTTTCCTCTTTGGCTGCTCAATGTGTTTTACCGAGAATCAAGATCAGGTTAAAAGGTGCTGTGATTTTAGAGTAACTTTGCCATCAAATGCCATAATTACAAGCAAAACCTGGAGGTTATTCTGTAAAAAAGGCTGCTTCGTGTACGGGGTTGTGGGAACGGCTACCAGGCATGTAGGAAGGGCTACGAAGTCCTACATTTAAATTATTTTACGATGGCGGACACAGCAAAGACACCTGTGGATTCTCGTCCCTTTGCGTCGTTTAGTGCAGCCCCAAATACAAGCAATCCGTTTTGATCACATCCATCTCAGGTCATTCTCGTCCCCATTGGTTGATTTTTACCACTTTGGTGTTTTCTGTACCAGCGGCATATTATTTTTTATTACACGACTCGGGCAGTCAGAGAGCCAATAACTAAATCAACCAATCAAAATGCTCTATTGCCGGTCAATATTCTCTCAGTATTGGACCGGGCACTGTCCCGAATGGTCCCGAATGATACCGCACTTGTGTCCCTTTTGAACTTCAGTCGTATAATAAATCTCTTATTAACCAAGCTTGCTCGGGACCGTACTGGAAGAATATCGGCCCTCGGTCTTTTTTGTACGGACCTCGCTGCGCTCGGTCCGTACTGTCAAGACCTCGGGCCGATATTCTCCCAGTGCGGCCCTCGCGCTTGGTTAATAAGATATATATACTGTTATTTTATTGTTCTTCTCTGCCACAATAAATGCCGTGGCATTTAGATCCTTTAAAATGAGACCATGTATACTTTCGTTTGATACCCTTTGACATGATAACTAACACTACAACCCGATTCTGTTTCTTAGGTCCAAGGCCTCTTCAAGATAAGGTTGTCATAGTAACAGGAGCGTCCAGTGGAATTGGTGAAGCAATATCTAGAGCACTTGCAGAAAATGGCGCCAAAGTTGCCTTAGCTGCCAGGCGTAGGGATAGGTATGAAATGAATTTAAAGAAAACAAAAAAAACATTTACTTCTGTTCTGTCAGAACAGAAAAGGCGTTTTGGTGCATCGATAGATGCGGCTTGCTATATAAAATTCAGAAATCTAGGTTTGGGTGTAGTGCAGATCCACTAGCCCTCTCAGAAATGTGCTATGAATTCTACAGGTTGGACAAAATTCGAGACGATATAACGGAATTAGGAGACGTGGCAATTTCAGTGGACACAGATGTGGTCACCATTGAGCAGGTAAAAGTGTCCAGACACGCAACAGAGTATGGAACCATAACTTTGTACGATGAGCAACTTTCTTGATTTATAAAGTCATCTCTTAAGGTCGATCCCCAATGTGAGCTTATCATCCTACCTGTAAAAAAATACTGGGTGATCTTTGTGAACATTGAATGCTTGTGAACCTTGAATGTTTACCGGAGTTTATAAGATTTCCATAACATGAAGCCAACAGGAGTATCGTTAAATAAGAGTATCGCTACCCCCCCTGATGGGATAAATTTTCATTGTAGAGATCCCTCCCCCCCCCCTTCCCCCGTATTTCGTTAGGTTTCCATTATAATACACCGGTACGTCTTGATATTCCTAGATGGAGATAGGTCCTGTGAGAGTAAAATGTTGCCCGAGGACAGAACGCTATGACTCGGTCGGGTCTCAAACTTAAACCTTTCGATCCACCTTCTAAACGTGAAAGAATAACAGCAACACAAATTTCTGATTTTCCCTTTAAATTTCACTCATTTTTTTCCTGTTTGTTTGTTTTTTTTTTTCCATTGTTGTTTTTTTTTTTGTGTGTGTGTGTGTGTGTGAATTGTGTCCAGGTTGTTGATCTAGTTTCGCATACAAAAGACACATTAGGACCTGTGGACATCTTAGTAAATTGTGCTGGTCTGGGATTCTACACCGCAATGAAGAACTGTAATCTTGAAGAGTGGGAGAAAATGGTTGATGTCAACTGCAAGGTGAGGGTGTCCTTTGGTTATAAGTCAATTCGTGATCAAATGCGTTTTGTACTAAACTTATGAACTAGTGAAATTTATTTGGAGTCACAAATGAAATGACAAAAACTCTATCGACTTTTGGATGATGTGAAAATTAATCCTCATTGGTAACAACTACAATCAAAAAAATTTGTAGAAAGTAAAGGCCAAACAAAGAGTTTTGGCTTCGACGGGGAATGAAATTGCGCCTATCAGACAACAGTGGGGTCGCTAATACAATGAAAATGAGCAGGAAAGCCAACTTCGTCGAACGGGGCAAATTTTATCACCTGTTCTTTATTTTTTGTAAAGGTCTTTGAACCCAAATAAGAAATGAAGTAAAGATAATTCTTGATATCTTTCAAATATCTTTGACGTCTATGTAGTGGACAGTATAAACAATAACGTAAAGTATCAGCGTAACCCGGCGCAGGTACTGGTTAAATTTCTGACTCTCTAGCTTACAACTTGGGAATACCAAATTTAAAATCAATTGAAGATAAAAATTTTATGAGATGACTTACTTAACTTGGGCATAATTCTCGTCATCAGGGTGTGATGAACTGCATCGGCGCGGTGCTTCCAGGAATGCTGGAAAGAAAGCAGGGACACATCATCAACATCTCATCAAACGCTGGCCGAAAGGTGAGAAATATGTTTTAAATTTGGTTTTATCAACTGAGTTGATAAAACCAAATCATCTTGTTTTAGTATCATTGTTCCGGTGGTTAGCTATATGTATGCGCTCTGATTGGTCGAAGATAACCAATCCTTACAGCACTGACCCCAGTTTCTTCAGAAACTTACCCCCTTTATCCATTAATGAAGAGTCAGTTTGGTCCAAACGGGAAAAGTTGACCTTCCTTTGACGCGAGTTTTTGAGCGTCTCAATGCCATTACAGTGGCGGATCCAGGGGGAGGGTCTAGGGGGTCCTGACCCCCCCTAACAGACCTGACGCTTACAACTTTGAAACTGAAATTCTTACATCGACAGGATGGTATATCACTTTTTAACTGGCTGATCTTTTTAATAAATCCAAGTAAACGGTAAGCGGCCAAGGAATTATAACGTGCAACCGCGACTGGTGGGAGAGGGTGTGGGGGAGAAGTAATTTGCCTCAAAAGTCCAACAGTCCTTTCTGAACCAAAGTTTGGACCCCCCAATCAAAAATTACTGGATCCGCCCCTGCATTAGGTCGTTTATACTAGCTGACCAGCATCTTCGTCTTTAGGCTTTTCCTGGATTAGCCGTGTACGCTGCTACGAAGTTCTTTGTTGAGGCTTTGACGCAGAGCTTGAGGCTAGAGACAGTTGGAACCGGAGTAAAGGTCACGTCCATTCAACCAGGTATGATCACAACAGTGAAAAGCCTTGACAGTCTCTGCGGTTTGCTTCTCTTTGAGAAAATCTCAACTAAGTAGAATGAAATGAAAGTATCACACAACAGCCAGTTAGAGTAGAA